GTGTTCTCAAAGGATGTTCTCGAACCTAGACCCCTCTCCAGAGGTGAGACACAGAGCCCCCAACTTCCATCCCCTGCCCTGGAAGCACTCCTCCCCCTGCTTGCACTGTCCTCTGCCTGCAGAAGAACCAGATCCATCCAGACCAAATGATTTCCCTCAGTGCCTGGGCAGCAGCCGAGTGGTGTCGGGGAGCGGGCAGCAGTAAGGCCTGGGGACCTCATCCTGTCCTGCTTTAGAGGGTGTGAGGCAGTGTAGAAGGAGAGACCAGTGCCTACCTCTGGCTGTGTGTTGTATGTGCATATGTGCACTGTATGTGTGTGTGTGGTGGACAGATGTGTTCATGTGTGCACGTGGAAGCCAGAGGCCAACTTCCAGTGCCTTGGTTGCTCTCCATCTTGTTTTTTTTTTTTTTCCAGGAAGGCTCTCTCACTGAACACAGGGCTCATCCGACCAGTGATCTCTAGGGATCTGCCTGTCTCTGCCTTGTGTTGTGCTCCCCAGATGGGGTTATAAGATGTATGCCACGCCTGGATTCTATGTGGGTGCTAGGATTGGACTTGGGGTTCTTGCTTGCATGGCAGGAACTTTACAGGCTGGGGAAGAAACCTCAGCCCCTTGGATTTTACTTTGTTTTGTTTGAAACCAGGTTTCTCTGTTTAGCGCTGGCTGTCCTGGAACTCACTCTGTAGACCAGAGCCATGCTGTAGACTCCATGACCGGGCCTTGAACTCATAGAGATCCACCTGCCTCTGTCTCTCAAGTGCTGGGATTAAAGGCCTGAACCACCACCACCTGGCTTGGATTTTAGCCTTCATTAGAGAAAGGCAATTATCTGAAAGGTATACATTTATGACCCTGGCCTGATGGCAGAGCACATCCTAGTGAAGCCTGGACTACATAAAACCCCGTGTCTATGTACCAGAGGGGACAGGGTATTGTATAAAAACTGGTAAAATGTAGTTGCTAGATTATTTATTTATTTATTTGTTTGTTTGTTTGTTTGTTTGTTTATTTATGGTTTTTCCAGACAGGGTTTCTTGGCTGTCCTGGACTCGCTTTGTAGACTAGGCTAGCTTTGAACTCACAGAGATCCACCTGCCTCTGAGATTACAGGCATGCGCCATTACACCCGGCTGACATTTATTTATGCAGAGGCTAAGGCTCATACATGCCAAGATGCGCATGTGGAGTTCAGAGGACAATAGGCAGGAGTCTTCTGTGTAGGTTCTATTGATTGGACCAGTTGCCAGGCTTAGCCACAGCACCCTTTCCTGAGGAGCCCTCTCACCAGCACCAAAATGTAGTCTTTGCAATGTGGGTAGATACAGGAGTATGTGTGATGGAAGATGGGACATGAAGCTGTCTTCTGGCAAACTGGTCCTAATGGAATATCTGCCCCAAAACATAAAAGTGACCGACTGAGGGCTTTGGGTGACCCAGAGCTGTCCCCATCCACATCTTGAGACAGGGTGTTAATATTGCCTAGCATAACCTTGAACTCACTTCCTAGCCCTCCTGCTTCAGCTTCCTCCAGTAGCTGGGGTTACAGGTCAACACCTCTAAGCCTAGTCACGTCACAGCTTGCTGTAAATAGAGTCCAGTATGAGCCAAACGTGGTGGCACATATTTGTTAATTCTAGCACCGAAAAGACTGAAGTTGAAGGATTGTGAGTTCCAGGTCAGCCTGTGGTAGTGAGTTGGGTGAGCTGGGGAATACAGCTTAGTTGCCTAGTAGGTGTGAGGGCGGTGGATTCCAGCCCTAGCACCATGTAAACAGGGCATGGTAGTTCACACCTGTAACTGAGCCCTTAGGAGCCAGAGGCAGAAAGATCAGAAGTTCTAGGCCGTCCTCTGCTACATAGAGAGTTCAAGGCCAGCCTGGGATAAATGAGACTCTGTCTCAGCACAACCCAAAACTGGAGAATGTTGAAGCTTGGGCCTGCCTTGTGCCTCACTGCCCTGAGCGGCTCTGCTGATTACAGAAGCTGAGCTGTTGCCGCGAACCATGGCAGGGCCTCTGGTTCCCAGGCTCCTCCACACTAGTGAGTGTCACCAGGAGGATGTCAGGTACACTGGCAATGCTGAATGAGCTCTTGGGAACCCTCCCCCCAACCCAGCCCCAGCACATATAGCCCAGCTGCAGAAGAGGATGTAGCTTAATAGCTAGGTCAGGGGATCTACAAGTGCCCCAAGCGATTTATGATGGTTAGTATTCCCATTTTACATTCAGTGTGTGTGTGTGTGTGTGTGTGTGTGTGTGTGTGTGTGTGTGTGTGTGGTGTGGGAGTGAAGTACTGGGGTGCATGTGTGAAGGTCGGGGGTCAGTTTTCTTCTGCCGTGCAGGTCTAGGGGGTTGGTGGCGAGCACATTTAACCCACTGAGCCATCTTGCTGACTTGGTGGTTAGTATCTATTGTCAGCTTGGCAGGACCTGGAACCACCGGAGACAGCCCGTGCACCTGTCTCTGAGGGAGTTTCCGGATTGAGTTAATTTAGATGGGAAGCCCCACTCTAAAGGTGGCCAGCCGCCTCCCGCTCCCGCCTTCCCATCATGATGGACTGTGTACCCTCCAACCGTGAGCCACAATTGACCCTGTCTCCCTTGTGTTGCTTTTGTTAGGTATTTTGTCTCAGGAGTGAAAAGCACAACTAGAACATGTCTTCTCCTCCAAACCCTGCGCTATACTAGGTCCTTCTCGGGTGCTGTGCTGGACCCAGGCTTGGAGGCAGTGACCCTCTAAGTCAATGCAGCAAGCCCCTGCCCTGCTCAAGAGCCTTCTATGGGTCCCCAGCCAGCACCAGTCACGCTGTCTTTATTATCTATCATCCTGTTCCACACAGCAGGGACCTCTTCTAGCTTTAACTGTCCATCTTTCTGTCAGTCAGCCAGGGAGGTGATTGACAGGCAAAGTGATCTAGAGTCTGACATTGACTTACACCCGGGAATGAGGGGTCAGTGGCTGGTGGGAGCCGAGTAACTGCAAGAAGAAACCCCCATCGGTCACACCGTCTTTTAGTTTATTTTTTTTGAAGCAGGGTCCCACCTAGCCCAGGCTGCCCTTGAGTGCCCTAGATTGCTGAGGCTGGCTCTGAAGAAGATCAAGGGGTCCTCTTGCTTCTTCCTCCAAAACCTTAGGGTTACAGATAAGCCAGCACGTGCCACTTCAGCAGGGTGCCTGGGTGCTCGGTCAGTAGGTCATTTTCCTAGTATTCATGAAGTCTGGGGTCCCAGCACCATTATAAATCAGTACTGGAGACACTCAGGACGGGGAGGCAAGAAGGTCAGAAGTTCAGGGTCATTTCTGGCTATACATAAAGTTTGAAGCAGTCCAGTTGAGGATGTTTTTATATATGTTTTTGAGTGCTTCCATAATGAAAGGTTTAAAAATAATTTAGAAAAACAAAATTAAAAAAAAAAGATTTTTTTGTATATGGATGCTTTGTTTGCCTGTATCTCTGTGCTTGGTAACCATAGAGACAAAAAGGCCCATCAGATTCCTTGGAGCTAGAGTTACAGATGGTTGTAAGACACCTTGTGGGTGCTGGGAATGGAACCTGGGTTCACTGTAAGAACCATTGGTGCTCTTAACCACTGAGCCATTTCTCCAGCTCCAAACAAAACATTGTGAGCACATATTCTTGCTCCTGGAAACTTACCCCTTAGATATGAGAACATCAGTTAATATGAATATGTGGAGCTGGATCTGGTGGTACAATACCTACAACCTCTTCTACCACAGGAGGCTGAGATGTGGGTGGAGGGGTCTTGTATCAGTAGCTGTCTGGGGTACGAAGTTCGTTCAAGGCCTGCATAAGCAACCTAGTGAGACTTTGCCTCAAAAATCTAAAAGTAAGCGCCGGGCATGCCCCGTGTGCTGGCTGGTAGTGGTGCCCATCTTTAGTCCCAGCACTCAGGAGGCTCAGGCAGGTGAATTGTGTGAAAATAAAACAAAGGGAGTACAGTCCACCTCACAATGCACAGAATAAATAAATGAAATTATTATTAAAACCTTTTTCAGAAAAAGCCAACAACAGAGGCTTGGCAGGTGGCTCAGCAGTGAAGAACAGGTACTGTTTTTGTACAGCGCCTGAGTCCAGCTCCCACATCCCAGCCTCTTCCACCACCTGCATGCCTGTGCATCGGTGCACACACACACATAATTTTAAAAAGTAATAAAGCTCAAAAAAAATCATCAACAACAATAAAATATCCTAGATGGTATGATACCAAATTATTCATCTGTCAAGGTTAAAATTAACTGCAAAGGAATCATTTCATGTTTTTTCTGTGTGACTGTGGAAGGAAAGGGGATCTGCCCTCAAGCTGGAAAATGGCCAGGAGTGGATTGGATGGAGGGTCAGGGAAGGCCCATGGAAGGTGTGTTTACTATTTGGGGGAAAGTACTTGCCACAGCTCTTGTGTGAAGGTCAGAGACACCTTTGTGAATGGGGCTCTCCCATTCCATCTTCATGGGGTCCAGTTGTCAAGCTTGCTGGGCCAGCACCTTTCCTGGCTGAACCATCTCGCCAGCCCCAAGTGGGAAGGTTTAGAAGTGGCACAGGGGTGGCTGGCCAGTCTCAGGCTGCAGCAGCTTCCTGACATCAGCGGCTCTTCCTCTTGTACTCTGAGGAATAATGTTTCCCTGGGGATGAAGAAGCCTTCCTTTGTGTGGCCCCTTAATTACCATGCTGTTGTGCCAAGCCAGTGGGTAGCAGGCGGGTGCAGCAGCTTTGCCAGGCAGCAGAGCCCGCTCCCTTGGGACAGCCTGGGACAGCTGGTCTGGGAGTGCTGCCCACCTCTGCGCCCACTCCCTCCCCCAAGCTCGGGATTTAAGCCTAAGATCCAGGGCCCTGAGACCATCTAGGGCTCTCATCAGCACCAAGGGTCATTGGAGGAGGGGGGTCGCGAGGAAAAGGAACGGATGGGAAGTTGGGAGGGTCTCAGTCACTCTTAGAGGCTTATTTATTTCATCCCTTTCCCCTCCCCCTCCTGTTTTGCAGACTGTCAGCGTCAATAAGGCCATTAATACGCAGGAAGTGGCCGTGAAGGAAAAACATGCCAGGAATATCCTTTTTGGACTGGATCCTTGGGAGGCCGACCAGATGGGGGGTCAGATGGTGGGAACTGAGGTCAGGAGGAAGCTCCTTACTCAGCAACAAGAGTAACCCTTGCCAGGGACTGGAGCCTGCGGATAGAAGCCACTTCTGGTATAGTTGAAGACCAGAGAGCGCTGGTCCTAGAAAACCCAGCCTGGCAATGTCCAAGGGTCCTAGGACACCAGCCAGTCCAGGCCTTTTCTATTTATTTAGTTAGTTAAATTTATTTTGAGATGGAGTCTCATGTAGCCCAGGCTGGCCTCAGATTCACTGAGCTGTAGCTGAGGATAACCTTGAACTCCTGACTTCCCGACTGCTGGGATTGTAGACAAGTACCACCACACTCAGTTTTTATGCAGTACTGGGGTGAAATCTGGGGCTTCATGCATACTAGGCAAGTTCTTCATCAACTGAGCTACATTTATTTTTTTTTATTTGCTTATTTTATTATGTGTATGTGTGTTTACCTGCATATATGGTTAAGCGCCACATGCCTGCAGTGCGCATGGAGGCCAGAAGAGGGTGTGGATCTTCTGGAACTGGAGTTACAGACAGTTGTGAGCTGTTGTGTGGGTGCTGGGAATCAAACCTGAGTCCTAGAAGGGCAGCCAGCGTTCTTAACCGCTGAGCCACCTCTCCAGCCCACACTTGTTTATTGATGGGTTTCAATGGTGGGGGTTTTGAGACAGGGCCTCATTGTGTCCTCCAGGTTGGCCTTAAAATTGGGATTCTCCTGCCTCAGGATCCCACTGGGATTATAGGTATGTATCACCATGCCCAGCTTGTACCCTCACTTCAATCATAAAAAAGCCTTCTGAGCAGGCTCAGCGTGCAAAGGCATGTGCCTTGCTAGTCATGCCTGAACCCACATCGTGAGAAGCATCGTTAGGGACCCACACAAGTGCCGAAGCACACTCCCCCACAGCACACACATGAATGGTGATCATGAGTAAAACAATGGTAAAAGGAGATGGGCAGTGGTAGCTCACACTTTTAATCCCAGCATCCTGGGAAGCAGAAGCAGGTAATCTCTGTGTGTTCGGGGCCAGCCTGGTCTACAGAGCAAGTTTCACGACAGCCAGGGCTATGCCGAGAAACTCCACCTCAAAAGAAAAAAAAGTAAAAGGGGAAATAGGTATTAAAATGTTGTCAGTGCTCAGTCCCACCCTTCACCTGGCTGATCCAGAGATGATGAGCCAAGCCCAACCCTGTCCAGGACCACACGTGCAGATTACAAAGGGGCTTCCCTCTCAAGATGCTTCCACTTCTGGGGACCGTGGTGGCACAGGCCCGTACTCTCAGCCACTGGGAGGTGGTTTCCGTGAGTTGGAGGCCTCTTTTGGTTCAGACACCAGAGCGCTCGCTTAGCATGCTTAGAGCCTTCGGTCCCGGCCCAAGCATCACGGAAATGAGGTGTGGGCCTGCTTCCCGGTAGTCTCAGAAGTCTGGAAGTGGAGATGGAGGAGCAGAGTTAACACGCTAAGTTCCAGGCCAACCTCGGCTCCTTAAATGTTGACCCTGTCTCAAAACTCCAGGTGGTGGGAACCAGTCAGATGGCTCAGCAGAGGTAAAGGAGCTTGCCATCCAGCCTGATGACCTCGAGACCCCACACGGAACTACTCCAGTGTTGTCCTCTGACCTGCACACATGTACCTGGCATACGAGTGCACACATATAATAATACATAAATAAGTTAAAATGTGATTTTAAGAAAGACAGCTCATTTTTAGAGGCAACATGTAAAATAAGACCAGGTATTTTATACCCTCAGCCTCCAAGCTGCCAAGGCAACCTCGTAGGATGTGGGGTCTTAGCAGTGAGCAATGCCCTGCTGCCCATAGCTGTCCCCACCCAGCGAGCCCTTGTTTTCCCTGACTCCCCTCACCGTGCATCCTGGGCACCCACCACGAGAAAGGGGCACAGACCTTTTGGTCCGTGGTCAACCGACTGCCTCTCTCCAGCAACGCCATGCTCTGCTGGAAGTTCTGCCACGTATTCCACAAACTCCTCCGAGACGGACATCCAAACGTGAGTCCCTGGGGCTTCGGGGGGACCAGTGGGACATGTGGGGATAGTGGAACCCGATTCCCACCCCTGCTGCCCGTTACAGATGCCAGTGAACAGACGAATTGAAGCTTTAAACGTACGTGTTTATTTGTGTGTGTGTGTGTGTGTGTGTGTGTGTGTGTGTGTGTGTCTCTGTGAGTGCAATCCATGTGTGTCCAGGTGCCTGACAAGGCCAAAAGAGGGTATCAGATCCCCTGGAGCTGAAATTGCCAAGATGTTGTGAGCAACCCAGTTTTGGGGGCTGGGAAAGAAACTCAGGTTCTCTGCTGGACCTTCGAAACACAATTGCCAAGCCATCTCTTCAGCCCTAGGAATTGAATCTTTAAAACTATTTTATTCAGAAAACCAGCAATTGGAGAAGATCATGTCTTCTAGTTCACCTTTTTTTTTTTTTCAAACTTTTTAGAAGATTTTATTTATTTTATGTATGAGTATGCTATTTGCATGTATACCTGCATGCCAGAGGGCATCAAATTCCATTGTAGATGGCCGTAAGCCACCATGTGGTTGCTAGGACCTGAACTCAGGACCTCTGGGAGAGCAGACAGTGCCCCTAACCACCTCTCTAGCCCCTTCTAGCTCATCTTAATCAAGCATGTTATATAGGGAGAAGGGCTGGAGACAAAGGTTGTCAGTCATTTCAGGGTTCAGCGTTGCCCCTTTGGTCAGGAGGTCGGCCATATTTGTGATCATGAAGTTCCGCTTGCGATATTTATGCATCTTCTCTCATTGATGGATGTCTGGGCTCAAATGTTTGTTGAAATACTGTTGAAGTTAGTGTCACTCAGAACAAGCTGCCTGCGTGAAGCCAGTAACGTCGTTTATGTATGGTTACTTCTAACAATATGGCGTACAGGTGTCTTTATAATACAGACTATAGAAGTGTCCCCACACACTTTTATCCCCTCTGTCCCCTGTCGAAAGCAGCTGTCAGCTCAGCATGATAGTCCCTGGAACCCAAGATGGAGAGGGAGAACTGATATCTGAAGATTGTTCACTAATCTCCACATGTATTCCGAGGCACCTGCACTTATCCACGCACATGTACACATTCACACACACACACGCACACAGGTAGTGGGTGCCTCCCTTCTGATGCGTCCCTTCACCTCCCCCGGCCCAGGCAGACTGTTCTCTGGCCACCTCTGTCTCTTCTCATGGCTCCTCTCTTCTTTTCTAGGTGCTAAAAGACTCTCTGAGATACAAAAATGAATTAAGCGACATGAGCAGGATGTGGGTGAGTACAGAGAAGTACCTGTGGCCCCCTCCCCTTACTCCCAGACACAGCCAGACACAGACTATGGCATGTAACAAGTTGTCTCCTGCCTCTTGGTTTTGTTTGGCTGAGGCAGTGTCTTATGGAACATGGGCTATTCTCAAACTCACTACATAGCCAAGGTTGGCCTAGAACTCATGATCTTCCTGTCCCCTCTTCCTGTGTGCTGGAATCACAGGTGTGCATGGCCAAGTCCAGTTTATACGGGGGGAGGGGAGGACCAGGCACTCTGCCCACCGAATCACATCCCCAGCCCTTCTCTTGATTGTTGAGTTTCTTCTATGAGTCTTGGGGTTGAGCTGAAGATGCCAGCACATCCCCGGAAGCTACAGGAAAGTCCTGGGTCCCCAGAGTCTGTGCTGACGACAGAATTCCATATGGTGGAGTTAGAATCCCTCACAGGGACTTGACACTATAATTTGCCCTTTGGTCACAGTACACTGCAGTTTTAGTACATTGCTGGAGAGATGGCTCAGCAGTTGGTGGCTCACTGTCACCTGGAACTCCAGGAGTCAGTGGCCTCTCTGGCCTCCTCAGACATACACACAGGCAGTACACAGACCCATATGCACACAGAGCAGCTCTCCACCTAATAATAAAAATGTTAAAAACAAAAGATTTAATATTTGTTTGTTTGAGGTTTCCGTACATAGCCCAGACCAGCCTAGAACTTGTACTTTTGTTTTTGTTTTGTTTTGCTTTGTTTTGTTTTTTGAGACAGGGTTTCTCTGTGTAGCCCTGGGTGTCTTGGAACTCACTCTGTAAACCAGGCTGGCCTGTCTCTGCCTCCCGAGCGCTGGGATTAAAGGCATATGCCATCACACCACACCAAGCCCTCCACCTTGTTTCTTGAGGCAGAACCTCCCCGGACCTGTGGCTCACTGATCAGTGTAAGCCGCTTGTCCACTGAGCTCTCCCGCCGCTGCCGCCCAGCTCTGGGATTGTAGACATGCGCTATGGGCTCCAGGAATGCAGCTCCGGCCCTCAGCATGCACCATACACCTGAGCAGCCCACAAAAAAATCTCAGCCCTCGATTTCCTACAGAGTGATTGGGTCTCCCTTCGTAGCCCAAGCTGGCCTCCAATTCCCAGTGCTCCTGCCTCAGCTTCCCCAGTGCTTGGATTGCAGATGTACAGGCCCACGTGAGACTTCTTTTAAAATATCTTTCTTTAAAATGTATTTTATTTGTATTTTTCTGTGTGTGCGGGGTATTGACATAGGCCAGAAGAGGGTGTCACATTCGTTGGAGCTGGAGTTACAGGCAGTTGTGAGCTGGGAACTGAACTCGGGCCTTTGCAAGAGTAGCATGCACTCTTGACTGCTGAGCCATCCCTCCAGACCCCCTTTACAAGATCTCATGCCTTGCAAATAGTTTATAGCTGAATTAGTGATACGCATGGCACACATTGCTTTTTATCATCCCATCATCTGTGCTTAGAGCTCTGTTTGGCCATCTGGCATTTATGGTGAATTTTAGTTATTCTTCACATTTTCCTTTTGTGCTAACTCCCCACCTCCCACCCCCACCCCACCCCACCCTGGGAATGTAATTCTTTGGAGTCAGAACAAAGACAGGTTCCTCCAGAGAGAACCTGTGCTTGCCTGCATCGAGATCCCTCTCATGTAAGCGCACCCCCCAGGGGACTGTCTACTGGGTCTCTTTCCCCACAGTGGATTTTACTTTTTTTCATCACAGGAGTGGGGAGAGAAAATAGAAACTGATGATGTTCAAGGCTTTCCTCCGTATTAGAGTGCTGGCTAGGGATGGACGCCCTTTACATTTTTATTTATTCTTTAGGTTGCATGCCTGTGTGCGTTTGTGTTCCTGTGTAGGAGAGGGGTACATGGCGACATTCAAACATGGCTGCCGGAGTCAGGGTTTTTGCTCTCGTGTAGCACCCTGAGGTTGTCAGGCTTGGTGGCAAGCCGCTTTACCCTCTGCTGTTTTTCTGCCCCATCTTTTAAAATTGCATTTATTATGTGTGTTGGGATGGGTAGGGGTGCATGAGTGACACCATGTTGAAGTCAAACAACACCTTGTCTGTGGTAGTCAGCCCTCCCCTTCCACTTCCATTGTGTGGTCCCAGGGATTAAACTCCGGTTGTCAGGCCTGGCAGCAAGAGCCCTCCTTCCTCACCCAGCAATCAGCAGGCCCAAGTAAAAGACTTAATAGAAGCCTGCCTCCAAACTGATGCCTCATCCTCTCCTCTCCCCTAAGGGCCACCTGAGCGAGGGCTACGGACAGCTGTGCAGCGTCTACCTCAAACTGCTGAGAACAAGGATGGAGTACCACACCAAGGTGCGTAGCTGCCGATCTCACTCCACCCCTCCGCCAGCCTACCCTCACACCTCCCTTCAGCCTCTCCTTGGTCTTCATTATCACTTCAGGGAGTGGG